GTGAGTTGGAACTGACTCAGTGGCACCTAACAACGACAGAATTGCCTGCATTCCTTGGCTCCTTTCCTCCATCTTCAAAGCTAGCAACACTACATTGAGTCTTCTTCATGTCACATCACGCCGGCTGTCTCTTCTGCCTTCCTCTTCCACATTATAAAGACCCTTGTGATTACGTTAGGAGCCCTTGTGCCGTGGTTAAGCGCCGGGCTGCTAACCTAAAGGTCGGTGGTTGGAACCCACCAGCCGCTCCACGGGAGAAAGATGTAGAAGTCTGCTTCCATAAAGATTACAGCCTTGAAAACCCTATGGGACGGTTCTACTCTGTCCTGTGGGGTCACTGTGAGTCGGAATCGACAGCAACGGGTTATGATTACATTGGGTCTACCTGGGTACTCCAGGATACTTTCCCTGTTTTAAAATCAGCTGATCAGCAGCCTCAGTTCCATCTGTTAAATTTGCCATGCCACATAATACATTCACAGGCTCCGGGGATTAGCACTTGGACATCTTTTCACACAGACTGGAGGTGGGGTGATCATTAGTCTGCCTGCCATAGCAGGTATTGACTTTTGGGGGATTATCCAGTACCTGCTGTGTTTGTTCAACATTTAGCACATTTTCAAGGCACAAGAACTGTGCCTGCCGAGACAGGGAGAGGGCTCTCCGTCTCTAGAAGCTCACGGTCCGGGGAGGGGAAGGCGGTCCGTGAACTACTCGTGTGGCTGTCACACAGGGGCAGATGCCGAGTTTATGCAGGTCAGGCACTGGGTGGGCCTGGGGGTGTGGAGTGGGCATGTGGAGGAAAAGGGGACGAGCGACCTGGCTCTTGAAAGAAGAGGTATTTGTCACAGAGAGAATGATGGGAGGGCGAGAACCACATGGGTGTGCAAGGGATGGGCAGCCCTGTGACGCAGAGCCTGGAGTCTAGGGGAACGTGGTGGGGGCTGAACGGTGAAGGGCTTTGAGTGCTGTTTTGGGGATTTTGGACTTAGTTTGGCTAGGCCCTGCGGCAGCACGTCAGCCACCCGTCGGCAAAGCCAGCCAGCAGAGTGCGTCCTTTGCCTGCAGTGTATTTTGAAAGCACAATTCACCACCGCCAAATAGACTCTGCATATCCCACTGGCTTCCCTCAGTTGTATTGTTTGTCCCCTACAGGCAGTTGAGTTTTTTACCTCTGGTAGGCAGAGGTTGGGATGAGGGGATGGAAACCAATGAGCATTTGAAAACAGGAGAGTGACTTGGTAAAATCTTTTATGTGGTAGATACATTGAATACTTTGCTTGTGCATCTCTTAAATTTTTTTTTCCTCAAAAGACTTAAAAGTCGTATGATAGTGTGCCTTTAAATAGAGAATAGGAATAGAACTGTGAGGAAGACAATGCTGTACTAGAAAACATGCCGAGTTTGAACTCAGTCCAGGGTTTAAATGGGAGCTCTGCCGTGTACTCAGTGGGTAACTTGGGACGAGTCATGTAGCTTCTGTGAGGTTCTCTTTCCCAAGCTGGTTCGTGAGAGTAGTGACGTCAGTGCCCACACAGGACCGTCGGGAAGATAAAGACGTGGAAGTATCTAACTGTGCCGGGGGCAGAATGGACGCTCAGTAAATGCTTGTTATTTGTTAAAGAAATAAATACTATGGTCATGCTTAATTTTTTCTTTGATTCATGCTCTTAAAATAAGATATTTCTTTGAACTTTATTTATTATTAGTCTAGACTATGTGAGAAATTTAATCGAACTCCTGCTGACCTGTCCTCAGACAAACTGAATGTGTCTTCTGTAATACTGTTTTGTATTTATACATATGCTTATTCTACAGTATTTATTGATCACCTACTGCTTCATGTTGTGCTTGGAACTCCAAGGAAAGCAGCGCACCCCTCCTTGCGTAGCTCATAGACCTCACTGACAAACAAGCACGCATCTAAAGAGTCAGGTCATGGTGCTATGTGGTTGAGTGCCAGGTGGGTGGTATACAGCCATGCTTTTAAGTTCAGAGTCAAGTGAAAATTATCCGGGGTTGACCTTGGCAGAAGAACCTTCATGACAAAGATGAAAGTTCAGCAGACCTTTCAGAGCTGGGGCTGTGCACATGTGAAGTAAGTGCAAAGGGCATCATGGGAAACCAGTGTGAGCATTGGCCTCCTCCAGTGGTGGAGGATGGACAGAGTGGGCCACTTGGCAAGTCACTCATTCTCTCCATCTGGAAACACTTTTGTCCGTCTTGACGATGATCCTACGTTTCTTCCTACCTCTCATTTTCCTTCAAGCTCTTCTTTGGCCTACTTTTTACTCATTTTGAATCCCTAGTTCCACGCACACAGGTAGAGTAGGTTATTATTATACTAATCAGCGGTTACAAATATAATTCTTTGTACGATTGTGTACTTTTTGTTCAGCCATGAAAACAGGCCATAGGGAAGATGGCAATTTGTATGTAGGGATACACTGTTACCCTCAACCTTCTCTTTTAACTCTGCTGCTCCCTAGGGTCCTATTTATAAACCTGATAGCTCCAGCTTTAGAATTTGTCCCTTAAAACACGTGGAAGAAGGACTGTGTTTGTTTGGACATAATTGTTAAATAGTAAGTATGACATTTTAGATAAAAGAGACATGTTTTGTTGCTGTTAGGTGCCCTAGAGTCACTTCAACTCCTAGCAACCCTAAGTTTAACAGAACAAAATACTGCCTTATCTTGTCCCATCCTCATAATCCTTGCTATGTTTGAGCCCATTGTTGCAGCCACTGTGTCAGTCCATCTCATTGAGGGTCTTCCTCCTTTTTGCTGACCCTCTACTTTACAAGCATCATGTCCTTCTCCAGGGACTGGCCCCTCCTTATATCATGTCCAAGGTATGTGAGACAAAGTCTCACCATCCTTGCTTCCAAGGAGCACTCTGGCTATATTTCTTCCAAGACAGACTTGTTTATTCTTCTGGCAGTCCATGGTATATTCAGTATTCTTCACCAACACCATAATTCAAAGGCATCAATTCTTCAGTCTTCCTTATTTATTGTCCAGCTTTCTCGTGCCTTTGAGGTGATTGAAAATACCATGGCTTGGATCAGGTGCACCTTAGTCCTCAAAGTGCCGTCTTTGCTTTTCAACACTTGAAAGAGGTCTTTTGTAGCAGATTTGCCCAATGCAACACCTTGTTTGATTTCTTGACTGCTGCTTCCATGGGCATTGATTGTGGATCCAAATAAAATGAAATCCTTGACAACTTCAATTTTTTCTCTGTTTATCATGAGGTTGCTTATTGGTCCAGTTGTGAAGATTTTTGTTTTCTTTGTTGTTATGTATTGAATTGTTTCCCCCCAAAATGTATATCAACTTGGCTAGGCCATGATTCCCAGTACTGTGTGGTTGTCCACCATTTTGTGATCTAATGTGATTATCCTGTGTGTTGTAAATCCTGACCTATGAGTCGGAATCAACTTAACAGCAATGGATTTGGGTTTTTTTTTTTTTTTTTGGTATGATGTTAATGAGGCAGGATTAGAGGCAGTTATGTTAATGAGGCACGACCCAATCTGCAGGATTAGGTTGTATCTTGAGTCAGTCTCTTTTGAGATATGAATGAGAGAAGATAGCAAAAGAGGAGAGGGACCTCATGCTACCAAGAAAGAAGTGCTGGGAGCAGAGTGTGTCCTTTGGACCCGGGGCCCCTGCACTGAGAAGCTCCTAGACCAGGGGAAGATTGATGACAAGGACCTTCCCCTAGAACCAACAGAGAGAGAAAGCATTCTCCAGGAGCTGGCGCCCTGAATTCGGACTTCTAGCATCCTAGACTGTGAGACAATAAATTTCTGTTTGTTAAAGTCACCCACTTGTGGTATTTCTGTTATAGCAGCACTAGATAACTAAGACATTTATATTGAGGTGTAATCCATACTGAAGGCTGTAGTCTTTGATCTTCATCAGTGAGTGGTTCAAGTCCTCTTCACTTTCAGCAAGCAAGGTTGTGTCATCTGCATAATGCAGATTGTTAATGAGTCTTCCTCTAATCCTATTGCCCCATTCTTCTTCATATAGTCCAGCTTCTCAGATTATTTTCTCAGCATACAGATTGAATAAATATGATGAAAGGATACAACCCTGATGCACACCTTTGTTGACTTTAAACCACACAGTATCCCCTTGTTCTGTCTGAACAGCTAGCTGCCTCTTGGTCTATGTACAGGTTCCTCATGAACACAGTGAAGTGTTCTGGAATTCCCGTTCTTCACAATGTTATCCATAATTCGTTATGATCGACACAGTCAAATGCCTTTGCGTAGTCAATAAAACACAAACATCTTTCTGGTATTCTCTGCTTTCAGCTAAGAGCCATCTGACATTAACAAGGATATCCTTCATTCCACGTCCTCTTCTGAGTCTGGCTTGAATTTCTGTCAGTTGCCTGTCGATGTATTTATAAGAGCCATAAGGAGGAGAATTAGCTTTTATTGAGCACTGCTGTATCGTTCCTAGACATGCATTTTTCACTTAATCTGTCAGTTCCTTAGAGATCATCTATTCATAACATCATACTCAAAAACTCATTGCCATTGAGTCAATTCCGACTTACAGCGACCCTATAGGACAGAGTCGAGCTGCCCGATTGAGTTTCCAAGGCTGAAATCTTTATGGGAGCAGACTGCCACATCCATCTCCCACGGAGTGGCTAGTGGATTTGAACCACCAACCTTTTCGTTAGTAGCCAAGCCTTTAACCTCTGTGCCACCATGGCTCCTTTTGTTTAAATCATAGGTTACAACAATTAGAGGTAGAAAGAACTTTCAGTAAGAAATAAGGCCCAGGAATGTGGAATGGCTTTCCCAAAATCACGCAACAAGTTAGGGACTTTCGGAGGATCCGAAACCAAAGTTGCCCAGATTGTACCTTCAGAGTCTTTGAGCAGCCCACGTTTTATTCTCTTCATTTAAAATTTATTGTGAGTGTAAGGTATCTGTATCTGTATGTCTTTGTAAACTGTTTGTTTTCTTTTAATTTTAGGTCTCACACATTGGCAAACTGAGGGATTTTCTTCTGGAACACAGGAAAGATTACATTAATGCTTATAGGTAAGTGTTTTTTTTTTTGTTTTTTTTTTTTTTAAAAAAAAACAACACTTATGTGTTCTTTCCCATCCCTATATTCCTTTGGAGCTTTTTGTTGTTCCCACTTTCTACTTACCAACATAGAGTTACCATGGGGAAGGTCGGCTTGGCAGTGGAAGGACATCCACAGAGCAGAGAGGAGCTCCCCGCGCAGGGTGGGCTATGCCCTGCCCCACGTCGTCCCAGCCATGATGTGACAACAGCAGTATCTTCTAGCATACACCATGTGTACCACTATCTCTCGTCCAGTGAAGCGCCTCACAGCGTAGTGTATAAAGCTGGGGACACGTGTATTGTGGATCACCTGAACCTGTGGCGGGACAAGGCTCTTTTCGCCCACGTCTCAGTGTCCCAGCCTGTGACCCCAGGCCTTGCAGTTTGGTGATGTTCTCATGAGCACACTGTAGCTCCTCACCCTTTTGTCACTGGGTCACGCTGTCCTTGCCAGTTCCCATTCCCAGTCCTGATGGCCACCTCCTTCTTTTGTCCTCTCCCGGGCATTTGGCACTGGCTAGAGACAAGTACATGAAGGAGCCCTGGTGGCACAGTGGTTGAGTGCTCGGCTGCTAACCGAAAGGTTGGCGGTTCAAACCCACCAGCCGCTCTGTGAAAGAGAGATGTGGCAGTCTGCTTCTGTAAAGATTTGCAGCCTTGGAAACCCTATGGGGCAGTTCTCCTCTGTCCTAAAAGGTCACTATGAGTTGGAACTGACTCGACGGCAGTGGGTTTGGTTTTTTATTTTTTGGTTTAGAGACAAGTACAAGCCTACCTTGGCTTGGCCTCCATTTTTTAGGGCAACTTTTGATGACTCTTTTTAGTCCTCCCTAATGTCACTCATGGTCACATTCCTCATGGTGGCGAGGTCCAGTCTCCACTCAGTAGCTGTAGTCTTTTTAAAACATTGGTCAGATTATGTCACTACTGTCACTGAGAAGGAAACATGCCTCCAGTAACATCCCCTTGCAGTTAGCATTCACACACCAGCCTCCACATCTCGGCCTCGCCACATGCAGCTGGCCCCTGCCACCTTCCCTCACCTCACCTCAGACCCCACCTCCCCATGCGCCAGCCTTCCCGCCGTAGTGCCCCAGCCATGCCAGCTGTCCTTGAACGCTCCACGTGCTTCCCCCTTCAGGGTCCATGTGGGTGCTCTTCTCCTTCCTGTCCCCATGGAGGTCTCCTTTTCAGACTTAAAGCTTAGCTCGCTTCAGAGAGGACTTCCTGGTGACTTCTTAGAAATAGGTCTTTATAAAATAATGGTTTGTTTGTTTGTTTGTTTCTGCATCCTGTATGTGTCCTTCATTGCATTAATCCTAATTTGTAATCGTTCATTACACTGCGCCACCAGGGCTCCACTAATAATCATAGTTTATTATTTTTTGTCACCAGGCTGTAAGTTTCATGAGCTTAGGGACCTGGTGTGTGCGTTTGTTCTTGTATCCATAGTGCCTGACCCATATTTGGCACTCAGTAAATATTTGTTAAATGAATGAATGAATGGGTGAATGAATGAATGAACGAATGAATAAAAGATTCCCTCAAAGTCCTAAAGCCCACAACTAGCCCAGTGGTTCTCAACCAGGGATGATTTAGCCCCCAGGGGACTTTTTTGGCAATGTCTGAAGACATTTTTGTTTGTCATGACTTGGGGAGGGGGTGCTACTGGCATCTAGTGAGCAGAGGCCAGGGAAGCTGTTACAATGCACAGGACAGCATCCACAACAAAGAGTTGTTGTTAGGTGCCATCAGGTTGGTTCCGACTCATAGCAACCCTGTGTACAACAGAGTGAAACACTGCCTAGTCCTGCACCATCCTCACAATCATTGCTATGTTTGAGCCCATTGTTGCAGCCACTGTGTCAATCCATCTCGTTTTTGCTGACCCTCTACCAAGCATGATGTCCTTCTCCAGGGACTGGTCCCTCCTGATAACATGGCCAAAGTATGTGAGACAAAGTCTGACCATCCTTGCTTCTAATGGACATTCAAAGAATTATCCAGTCTCAAATCTTCCTAGTGCCAAGGTTGAGAAGCCCTGCTCTAGCCTAACCGCCTCTCTCTGATGACTGATGTCGTGGTGTAGCTTAGTGGCTTTTTCTCAGCTCTCCTTCACCACCGCCTCTGACCCTATTGGCTGCCACTAGGTTTTGTAAATTCCCTACTCCCTTGACGTCCATGACAGTGTCTTCTGCTCGTTTGACCACTCCTTTTTGCCTCTGCCCTTAACCTACTGCCTGAGAACTGCAAGGTGCATCTTTGGTCCTCTTGTTTTATTGTACTCTACTTCACGTTAGAAAAAAATTTTATAGCATCATCTACCTGTCTACCTACTTGTCTATCCTGAGTGCTTACTCCGTTTTAGGCACTTTGATAAGCAATCGAGAATATTTTATCTCATTTGGGCCTCACAACAGCCCTATCGGGGTAGCGCTGTTATTGCGCCCATTTTATAGGAAGGAAACAGAAGCACAGAGATGAAGTAACTTGCTAAGGATCACATAGCTTGTGAGCCGCTGAGCCAGTCTCCTTGTATCGCCTTGTCACCTAGGCCGTCTGAGCCCACAGTCCGTGCCCTTCTCCACCACACCTTCTTCCCACTTCTGTCGCTTCCTCTGTCACAACTATGCTCATAATTGCTAAATGCATGTCTCAAACACAGGCTCCTCCAGTCCCTAACTGCCTCCGCTCTACCTACCCAGCACATCTGAGCAGTACTGCCAATGTGTGTCAGTTCTGTTCCCTTCCTTCCATTCCCTCTGGAGTGCCTTAGCACGGTCCTTATTTGCTCTTTGCTACTTGAACTGTTTGGTCTGTGCTCCTCATCCCTGCCTCTGCCCCATCTGTCTTGAGACACAGCACTAGTCAGCAGCAGCAGCACAGACATGATCAAATTGCTGCTCATTGCCCGCAGAATGTGGTCTGTCTGTGCTTCGTAGGTAAGCAAGCCTTCATTAACCTCACCCACTTTTTCCTTTCACGTACCCTATAGCTGCCTTCAGATGAACCTATATTCTCCCTCGGTGCCTTGACTCACAGTTTGCAGTGCCTGTTGGCGTGCCCACCTGCTGCCACGGTGAAAGACCCTCTTCTCACCACCACCTTTTCTGTAAAGCTGTAAGAACGGCGTAGGGGCGGTGTCTGACCTCCTCCAGCCCTGCAAGGCTGACTCCCATGAGGTGGAGGCCAGACAAGCCTCCTCTCTCCACCATCTTTACTAATTCTGACACCAGCCGTCCCTCCGCTGGGTTCGACAGTTCATTGCAATGGCCACACAGAATTCACAAACCATACTCACGATTATGGGGTTTATTAGGGAAATAACAGTTACAATTCAGGCTCAGGAATGCTAAGGATACAGTTCTCCCATCTGGACAGCCTCTTGCCAGCAGAGCTCACAAGCACACCTCTCCCTGGCCCTAGGCCTCTCCCCAGAGGTACTCAGCTTTTTCTCTCTGTGGAACAGGAAGCCCACCACCCCATCTCCTGCTGCCAGATCTCTCTTGCCACCACTTCTCAGCATCTTCAGGGTAACAGATCTCTCTCTCTCCTCCTCCTCCTCTCTGCTCTGGAATTGGCTCTCTGTTAAGGCAAAACTGACCAATCCCCTTGGTGGGCCACAATTACCTTACCACACAGTCCCACCCAATCACCTCGGTGGGAGTTACAAGACCATGGTTTGAAAGGCTGCACAAATGTAATCAGTCACATCAGTCACTTCTTGGCCCTGCCTTCCTGTCCGAAAGCAATCTCTCCTACCTCTGAATTCCAGCAGGTGTTTTTCTGCCTTTCCTATGGTACTGCTTACAGGTGCCCAGTAGAAGAGATATTTGTTCATTACCTCTCCCACTAGCTTTCTGGAAATGAGAAACTGTATCTTACTCATCACTGCATGTTCCACAGTGCAAGGACTGACTGATCGATTCATTCTTTGATCAATTCATTGATTTAGCAAATATTTATTCAGTGCCAACTATGTGCTAAGCACCATGGCAGGCACTGGGGATACAATACTGAGCAAAGGCAAACATGGTTTTCCTTGCCTTCGTGGAGCTAGTTGAAGGATACACACAAACGGATGTGACACTGAAGATATGACAGGTACTACAAAAGTAGAGTGCAGAGGACTTCTGAGGGCCTAGTGGAGGAATTTAGCCTTGTCAGGAAAAGTGTTCTTGAAGAAATGACACTTGAGCTGAGATCTGAAAGAGTAGGAGTTAGCTAGGCAAAGAAAGGAGTGAGGAGAATTCAAATATATAGGGGCTAGCATGTGTGAGCACCCTGTAGACAGGGTATTCCCCATAGTTGGTGCTCATAACATGTGTGAGAACCTTGTGGACAGGATCTTCCTATTAGTAAGTGCTCATAACATGTGTGAGTATCCTGTAGACAGGATCTTCCTTATAGTAGGTGCTCATAGCGTGTGAACACCCTGTAGATGAGGTCTTCATGTGTGAACACCCTGTAGACAGGGTCTTCCTTATAGTAGGTGCTCATAGTGTGTGGGAATACCTTGTAGACGGGGTCTTCCTTATAGTAAGTGCTCATAGCGTGTGTGAGCACCCTGTAGACAGGGTCTTCCCCATAGTAGGTGCCCATAGCATGTATGAGCACCCCGTAGATAGGATCTTTCTTATAGTAGGTGCTCATAGTGTGTGAGCACCCCGTAGACAGGAGCTTCCTTACAGTAGGTGCTCATAACATGTGTGAGCACCCCGTAGACAGGAGCTTCCTTACAGTAGGTGTTCATAGTGTGTGAGCACCTTGTAGACAGGATCTTCCTTATAGTAGGTGCTCATAGTGTGTGTGAGCACCACGTAGACAGGGTCTTCCCCATAGTAGGTGCTCATAACATGTGAGCACCCTGTAGACAGTCTTCCCCAGAGTAAGTACTCATAGCGTGTGTGAGCACCCTGTAGACAGGGTCTTCCTTATAGTAGGTGCTCATAGTGTGTATGAACACCCCA